ACAGATCAGATTTACGGGAAGAAGGACAGAAAGAGAGAGAACTCCATTTACTGGTTCATTCCCCAATTCTCCGCAACAGCTGGAAATGAGATGATCTGAAGCCAGGAGTCAGGAGCTTCTTGCAGTTCTCCCACGTGGGTGCAGGGTCCCAAGGCCTTGGACTGCCCTGGACTGCTTTCCCAGCAAAAAGCAGGGAACTGGAAGGGAAAGTAGAGCAGCTGGGATATGAACCGGCATCCGTATGGGATCCTGGTGTTTGCAAGGTAAGGGTTTATCCACTGAGCCATTGAGACAGACCCCATACTGACTTTTCTACTGAAGAACATCTTTGGGGAAGAAAAAGATGTATTATTTGGTATGAACATACTAAGTATCATATTCAGTGGCAAAAAGTAATTACCCTTTTCTTGTAACATTATTCAAAAGCTCCCCTTGGTTAAAGGAACCATCCTTGAATTTCTAAGTCACTGTGGGTTATTTGGTGCCTCAAGTTCCATATAGGTAATATTTTGCCATCAGTGGGTTAGGGTACCTTTTGTCCACACCCTCACCAGCATTTTTTGTTTTCTGATTTCTATATAGTAGTCACTCTGCTGGGGTGAGGTAAAGTCTCATTTTGATTTTTATGACTGAGTATTTCCCCGTGTATCTGTTGACCACTTGAATTTCATCCTTTGAAAAATGCCTTCTCATGTCCTTTGCCCATGTCTTATCTGGACTGTTTGTTTCACTGTTGAGTTTCTTGAGCTCTTTATCAGTTCTGAATATTAATCCCCTATCAGGTGCACAGCTGGCAGGTATTTTCTCCTGTTCTATTGGCTACTTCTTTGTTGATGGTTTCCCGGCAGTGCAGATGCTTCTTAGCTTGATGTAATTCATTCGTCTATTTTTGCTTTAGTTGCCTGTGCTTCTGAGATCTTTTCCAAGAAGTCTTTGCCTACACTTGTAACTTTATACTTGCAGTTTATACAAAATGAATTAGGCTTTTTATCTTTTTTTTTAACTTAGTTTTTGAAACCTCTTCAGCCATCTCTCTTTTAACAAATGCAGAGCAGTTGGGCCTGAGGCTTAGAAACTTTGGAATATTATCTATTTGCAATTTACAATATTATCCAGTTGCAATTTAGTATTTCTTATTGTGTTTTATCATTACAATTTGTTCTGTGGCATGTAATACTGCATTTCACATGCTCCATACTAAAATTTGTTTTTCATAAAAATGTACACAAAATAAATTGATAGTTTGCCCAATCACAAATAGATAATAGATGTAGATATCTATTTAATAGATATGAAAAATTGTAAAGATGGCATAAGAGTGATTGGAAGTGGGCCACCACTATGGCTCAGCAAACTATTCAGCTTATTAGCACTGGCATTCTATAAATGTGCAAGTTCAGGTCCCAGCTGTTCCACTTCTTTTTATTCTCTCTCTGCTACTTTTTAAAAAAGATTTATTTGTTTTCATTGGAAAGTCAGATATACAGAGAGAAGGAGAAACAGAGAGAAAGATTTTCCATCTGCTGATTCACTCCTCAAGTGGCTGCAATGGCCGATGCTATGCCAATCTGAAGCCAGGAGCCAGGAACTTGCTCCAGGTCTCCTACATGGGTGCAGGGTCCCAAGGCTTTGGGCTGTCCTCAAGTGCTTTCCTAGGCCACAAACAGGGAGCTGGAGGGGAAGTGGAGCTGCCAGAATGAGAACTGGTGTCCATGTGGGATCCTGGCGCATGCAAAAAGAAGACTTTAGCCATTAGGCTACTGGGCCCTTTTTCACTGTTTTTAAAAACTTAAAAATTTTCTTTTTAGTATTGTTTACATGGCAGAAAGGGATACACGCCCATATGGGCCCTCATCAGGGTGGGGAGGGTCAGATACAGAGAAAGGTGGGTGGGAGGTGAGGGACAAGGAAGGGGTCACTCCTTGCTGTCAAACCACATCAGCACCTGGGATGGAGAACAGTCACTTCATGATGCCCTAGAGAGCCTGATGTCAGAAAGAATGTTTTAAGAGTATTACTTGAGTAGTTTGGACAGTTCTGAGGAGTTGATGGCTTCATGGCTCCAAGGTTGAGAAAATCTTTCCATGGTCTAATGGTTGACCGAGTCCACCTTAGTGCATGCACAGGCCCAGCATCACGCTACTAGCTTGACCATGAGAGTTGTCTATGGTGTTCTGCCCTCTATCCTCTGATGAGGTACTTGACATCCTCTGCTGGCCTAGGTGAGCTGGCCATGTCCCCATGTGCATCTGGGCATGCTGTCCATTCCACAGGCATCAGCAACTGAGGAGGCCCAGTCCCAATACAGGCACTCCAAAATTGTACCGCATAAATTGTGATTTTCCTGTGGCCCCGGTTTGAGTCCAGCAGTCTAGTTGGGGAGCCCTCCCCGCCAAGAAATCTTGCCTGTGGTGACCTCAGATTTAACTCTTGTGTGTATAAGCTAGTGCAGGATCAAGTGCGTTCTGTTGCTCCGACCAGCAGAGCCATGGACACGGAGAGTAATGTAGACACGGAGAGGGTCTGGGGATGAAGCACCAATAGGAGACCAGTGATGGTAGACATCTGAAAAGTCTGGGAAGTCTCTCTTTATTGCCCCTTCACCTCTTCCTATATACTCTTCCCCCACACGTCCTCATTTAGCACGATATTGGATACAGATGAGTCCAATTAGTCTAGGTGTTTTTAGCCACAAGCACAGTTCCTGTTCCTGCTCAGGTTAAGGAGCACTAATCAACTCCTTAACCCACGACAGTCTGTCACCTGCATCAGCCAAAACACTTGCCTGTGGATGTAGCTGCCTTGTCAGTTCTGCCGGAGCTCCATATCTCATATCATAATACAGTGATGTGTACTGTGGCCTAGACCAGCCCAGCCCACCACAGACTTAGTCTTCATGCATTCCAGCAGGTGCTGTGGCCTGGTCATGGTGACCCCAATATATTCCTAATCAAGCCTACCCCAGTCTGAGTTTTTGCGTGTGCCAGCTTCTGTTGTGGCCTAATCTAGCCCAGCACACATCCCCTCTGTGTGTCATGCACACCCGTAGGTTCTGCAGCTTAACTCAGCCCAGCCCCAGGAATAATTCTTGCATTTTTTTCTTTTTCCATTATTTAAAATTATATTTTTGACAATCTTTACATAGTTAATTAGGGTAAAAAGGTTCAAGGCCTACAGGAAAGTGGGTAAAACTATTATTTCCATATTGTTTTTTTCAAGTATCTGAGGTAAAGGGGGATTTAAGGAAGAAGCCTCATCCAGTCTCCCACCCACCCAGGTCCCGGATGTGGGGCATGTTCCGAGGGTCTTGCTCAAGTGGTTTTGATAGTTCAACAGTTATGAATTGCTGCCAGTCTCATCACTCCAAGCACGATGAGGTCGTTGAAGGATCCACTGACTGACACAGTCCATCATAGAGTCTATGTTTGCCCAATTTTTCTCTGCCAACATACAGCTGAGGTGGCTGATTGACCTGTTCTGTCTTCCGTCTTTTCATGGTTAGGGTTCTGAGTCCAGCAGTTCGATTGGCGAGATCCCCGAAGAAACTTTGTCTGAGGTGTTCCCAGACCAGATTCTTGTATGTACTAGCAAGTACAGGGCCCGGCACAGTCCATTGCCCCAATTAGCTGGTGGTTGCAACTGCTGGGCTGGTTCTGTTTCCAACCCACCCCAGGAATAATTCTTTAGTTATACATGTAATAGCTTGATGGAAAAGTAGAGTACTATTAAAATGAATAGGATGCCTAATGTAGTTGAGGTTGAAGGCCTCTTGGAGAAAATCTCACTTAGGTTGAGACCCAAGTAGTTAATAGGCTTATTGATAAAATGGGTTTAATGACAACATGGGCAGAAGGAATAGTAAGTGCAAAGGTGTTGAGCTGGGAGGAATTTGGGCTTGAGTGAACGAATTCTTTCATGTGCTTATTCTGCTATGAAGATATTTAGATGTACATTATCTTTTCAGTAATTTACTAGTGTGTAATACTCAATATACTTAGCAATGTTGTGAATGTTACACAGCCTCAACTTAAGTGAAGATTTATATTTAAGGATACCTTTTAAAAAGTCACCCTGGATAGATAAATATAAAAAATTAGACATTAAAATCATACAGGAGATTTTTATAGAAGTTCCATTTCTATATAGAAATGTATAGATTTATATCATGCTTTTTATATATCTATGTTTTTGTGATACACTTATGATGCATCTGAGTATAATTTTAGAACAGACTTTCACTTCTCCAGTGTATAGATACCTTTATAAAGAGTGCTGTATTAATTAACATGTTTGGGTTAGCAGCTTTGGCTAGCCTAAAAGGAGAAAAGCAATAGAATTGTAGTTGAATAATCCCCAGGAATGCAGGAGAATCAGGACGTATGTTTTCTTCATAATGACTTGGCTGCAATAATAATATAAATATCTCCATTGTAACCACAGATATAATAATATGAACCAAGTACAGATGACTTTTTCAGAAGTATTTTCTTTTCTTTTTTTTAAAGATTTATTTATTTTTATTACAAAGTCAGATATACAGAGAGCAGGAGAGATAGAGAAGATCTTTGTTGGTTGATTCACTCCCCAAGTGAGTGCAATGGCTGGTGCTGTGCTGATCCGGAGTCAGGAGCCAGGATCTTCCCTCTGGGTCTCCCACATGGGCACAGGGTCCCAAAGCTTTGGGCTGTCCTCAACTGCTTTCCCAGGCCACAAGCAGGGAGCTGGATGGGAAGCGGGGCTGCCGGGATTAGAACTGATGCCCATATGGGATCCTGGTGTGTTCAAGGCGAGGACTTTAGCTGCTAGGCCACACCACCGGGCCCCAGAAATATTTTCATAATCATAGCAGAGGAGTTAGAAATATTGGCTCTCTTAGAAGACACATTAATCCAGAAATGTAGAAATGTTCGTTGGGATTGGGAGGGGAAAGGCTCTTGCTGGAGAATTTGTATCTCAGTAGTCACAGTTGTTTGGGGTTTCAAATCTTCTTTTCCAGAACTTCATACGTTTTGATGTTTTAAAAGATGTTTTCTTTGAATTTGCTATAATGAGAAAATGAGAATTTTATTTACCTGGCTTGTCCTCATCTTTCTAATGATTAAGAGTTGATATTTAAAAGCATACAACAGGAAAAAGATATTATAACCCAGGGCCCCTTTATAAATATTTCATGCAGCATCTTCATGCAGAAACCTTCCATAGTTGCCTGTTTTCTTTTGTCAAAAGATTTGTTTTGGTAAAGCAAATTGTAACACATATAAAAAATCTAGTACCCTACCTTGATCATACGGTTTGCTTGCCTTGACCTGGGATTCAGGCATCGCTGTCCTTTTTGTGCTTTCAGGGTGACACTATTAAGGGAAGAGCCAAAAGAGTGTTCAGTTTTGCACAGAAATGTGTAAAACAATGACAGCTCTGAAGTTGTCATCCTTATCAGTGCATTACTTACATCACTTCTATTTTGTCACAGCTGCCACTTGGAAAAATTATGGAGGCTTCCTTAATGTCTTCCATTTTCACTGCATTTAGTCCAACGCCTACGCAGAGACAACGTCCCCTTCTGAACATGGGGAAGCCTAGAACACATCATTGCGTTAGTACTACATTTGATTGCAACAGATGGTTCTGGGTTATTATTACCATGATGAAGTGAGTGAAGTTTTTATTAAGGATACAGTTAATTTTTCAGATAGCACCTGATGTCACTGTTACTGAGAAGGACGTTAACTAAAATATTTGTGATTTTCTCTTTAAATTTGTAAGCAAACCATTAAAAAAATAAGAGAAGCATGAAGGATGTTTATGGAGGTGAAATTTGTTTGCCTCAGCTTTCATGCATAAGAATTTTTCCAGGAAGAATGTTGTTCCATATAAAACCTTTTAAACAGACATTTAACACAAATGTCAAGACAATATTAAGTCAAATGGAAATGTAAATGAAGCTTCTAATTGTAATAATCATCTCCAGGTCTGCCAGAATGATAACTTTGAATGAATGAGGCTAAATAAAATTTACCTTCTGTGTTGGAATAAAGGAGGAAGAAAAGATATTTGACATGCTAGAAAATTACTCTATAGATTGAGAAGCAAAACATATAATATACCTTGAACAATCGCAGTGCAGAATAACACAGCCAAGACTAGAGCCATGCCCTTCACACTCATGGTTGCCTGCTGCTGCTTCAGCTTTGATGCTCTCTCCTTGGGGGACGTGGAAGCACTGAACCTCAAAGGAAGGTCTGCCGTGGCATATATAAAGCATTTCATACACCAATAGGAATTTCCCTACTTGAGTCATGCTCCTTCCTTGCTTCCAAGAGTTTCTATTTCTCATCTAAAAGTCACTATCTCTTTCTTAATTATGATAGTGTTGAAGGTAAGAGGATTGAGAAAGCAATTTGTAAAGAGTAAAGTGCTGTGTAAATGTAAACCAGGGAATATACCCAGAGGGGAACCACCCCTCCTAGCAGTGTGTTTAATTGTTGGACTGCTTGGCTAGTGAAATTCTGGTAACTATTCATTAAGGAGGATAGTCTTGCTCTAGTTTCCAGCTGTTGTACCTAGGAAAACATCAGAAGTTGGCCCAATTGCTTGGTCCCTGCCAACTAACAAGAAATCTGGATGAAGTTCTTGGTTCTAGGCTTCAACCTGGGTTGGCCCAGGCTATTTAAGCTGTCTGGGTAGTGAACCAGTGGATGGAAGATATTTTTCTCTGTATTCTTCTTTATCTTTCAAATAAGTGTGAGAGCCAGGCTGGTCAAAGCAGCAGCACCCATCAGCATATTTGTGGACTGATCTGGGGGCTGAGGTAAACTGCAGCACCCAAGGGTGTGCATGAGAGACAAATGAGATGTAGGATGGACCAGGCTGCACTGCAGCACATGCCAGTACATGCCCCAAACAGACTGCAGCACCTGCTGGGATGCATGAAGACAGGGCCGGTGTTGGGCTGAACTGGGGTAGGCCTCCACACATATAAGTTTGTGTGAAAGATGGGACTGGGGCAGAACTGACCAGGCAGCTACATCCTCTGGCATGTGTGTTGGCTGGTGCAGGTGACAGACCGCACTTGATTCTGCACTAGCTTATACACACAAGAGTTAAATCTGAGGTCACCACAGGCAAGATTTCTTGGCGGGGAGGGCTCCCCAACTAGACTGCTGGACTCAAACCCGGGCCACAGGAAAATCACAATTTATGTGGTACAATTTTGGAGTGCCTGTATTGGGACTGGGCCTCCTCAGTTGCTGATGCCTGTGGAATGGACAGCATGCCCAGATGCACATGGGGACATGGCCAGCTCACCCAGGCCAGCAGAGGATGAAAAAAAATTTGTCCCATCCACCTTTCTCCATTCTTTGTCCATCCCCATTCTAATTGGGACCCACATGGGTGCGTATCTCTTTCAACTGTGTAAACACTATTTAAATCAAGATAAATTAAAAAAAAACAAAATAAGTAAAAATTACTTATTTGGGGGCCAGCTGCCTGCAGCACTGGCATTCCTTATGAATGTTGCTTCCAGTCCTGGCGGCTCCTTTTGTCCCTGCTGATGGCCTGGGAAAGTAGCGGAAAATGGCCCAGGTGCTTGAGCCCCTCTACCCATGTTGGGGACTTGCCAGAAGCTCCCAACTTCAGACCCACGCAACTCTTGTCGATGCAACCATTTTGGGAGGGAAGCAGCAGCTGGAAGTTCTCCATGTCTTTGTAACTCTTTCAAGTAAAACATAATTTTTTTTAAAAAAAAAAATAGTAACAGCAAATTATTTTTTTTTAAAAGAAGACAGTCTTCCCTGTTTCCAGTCCTCTCACCTGTGTCCTCACAACGTCTATGATGTAACAAAAAACATTCTAAAAAATTGAAATATTAGGGCTAATGCTGTGATATGGTACAATAAGCTGGCACTTAATTGCTGGCATTCCATGTGGACACCAAGTCCAGTCCAAGCTGCCCTGCTTCTGATCCAGCTCCCTGCTCTGTGCCTGGGTAAGGAGCAGAAGGTAGCCCAGGTGTTTAGGTCACTGCACCCTGGTTTTGACCTGGTCCTCCCTGGTGGTTGGGGCCATTAGGGAGTGAACCGGCAATGGGAGACCTCTCTGTAGCTCTTGCCCAGTTGGGGAGCTAAGGGAACACCCTAGCTGAGTTGGGGCTCCCACTGAGAAGTGCGGGGGCTGGAATGGGGGCTGTGTTCTGACCAGGATACGGTTGTGGTCTCCCATGGCACAAGTGTGGACTGGGACTGGACACACTGAGCCAGGCTGACTCCAATACTATCTTGTGCTTTCGAAGACCAGGATAGATGTGGGACAGACTAGAGTAGGTCTCAGCCCCTACTCAGCCATGTGTGAGCTGTATGTGGGTGTAGACGAGCTGTGGCTGGGCTGAAACATCCAACAGTAAAAACCAGATTGGGTTGAAGGCCAATTAGAAAATACCACAGTTCCTACTAGGACAGGAGGTGAACTGAGTAGGGCTGGCTCATGGACCCACAGGTATGCGAGAAATCTGGCTTTGGGAGAGGTTCTGATGGAGGAGCCTGGGCAACTCCTCTGGCAGGACACAGTCCCTGCAGGTTAATGCGAGAAGCATGATAGGAAACAGCCCAGAACAGGCTATGGAAAGTATCCCATTGGTATACATTTGGCATGGGTCGAGGACAGACCAGGTTGAACCAGTTCACATCAGCTGCTGGCAAATCCAAGCACTAGAACAGAGTGTGGGTCTAACCAGGTTTGGTCGCAACAAAAACCAGTTCACATTACGGAATGCCAAGGTGAAGTGACCTATACCGTATGTGGCCGCAGCACCCAACAGCATGTGTGAGAACCAGGTGGGAGGAGGTGGAGCTGGCAGGGGGAATATGAGGGGGCTCCCCTGCTGGACAGCTACTCTGACTGTAGCGTGTGAGCTGGGATGGGGGCAGACCAAACTAGGCAGGGCTACAACACTTTGGGCCTCATGCGCACTAGATCAGGGAAAAGCCAGGCTGGGCTGATTGTTCCTCCTGGTGCAAGCAAAAACTAGAGTGGGTGAGGGTTGGTTGGGCTATGTGACCCTAGGCAAGTTACCTCAACTTTTTGAGTCTCAGTTTTCTTATGTGTAGAACAGGAATAATAATATCTTCTCAAAGGCTGCTATAGACTATAGATACTAAAATGCCAACACATGTAAATCATTTAAAAGAATACATGTGACTCAAAAGGTATTGACTGCAGTTTTTAATGATCACTAATATTTTATAGTGTTCTTTCCTAAAATGACATACCACATCTAGCTTATTTTAGCATTTTCACAAATACAACCATCTAATGAAAGACAAAATGATATTGTTCTAAGATATAAATGATGTCTTAAAAGATCATAATGGTGATATTGGAAATAAACATTGCTCATGAAAATTGCTCACAGCAGTCCAGTATGGGGCCTGGCACAATGGCTTAGTGGCTAAAGTCCTCACCTTGCATGCACCAGGATCCCATATGGGTACCAGTTAATGTCCTGGTTGCTCCACTTCCCATTCAGCTCCCTGCCTGTGGTCTGGGAGGGCAGTGGAGAATGATCCAAAGCCTTGGAACCCTGCACTTGTGTGGGAGACCAGGAAGAGGCTCCTGGCTCCTGGCTTCGGATTGGCTCAGCTCCAAATGTTGTGGCCACTTGGAAGGAATCAAAAAATGTCTGTCTCTTCTTCTCTGTGTAAATTTGCCTTTCAATAACTAAAATAATTTTAAAAAGTCCAGCACAGTAACACAATAATTACACAATGCAAGCCCCTGTGAGTATTTTTAAAGAAACTTCTCTAAATTTCTTTTTCATCTTTTCGCCCATTGTACTGAGTCATATTTTATTCTTTTCTTGTTTTAATGCAAAAAGATTAAACGACATCCTGTTTTTAGTGTTGATCTTATTGTTTTTGTTTCTGGAATTAGACTGTTTTCTATTTTTTTTAGGTTTACTCACTCAAATATGTTTCCTCTTGAGTTCAAGGAAAATCCCAGGAAATGAACCTCATTCCAAAATAATAGCTGAAGTTCTTTCTAGTCTAAAATTATGTTCTCTGGTTTTTTTGAAGTTTTTGTGATGTTTCCACACTATCTAATTGAAGTAGAATTTAAATTTTTTTTCTTCAAGTTTGAAGACGTTAATATAAATCATTTAAAGATAATTCGCAATTCACCATTCACAAGATTTTGTCATAACGGTGTGGAATCAATCAATCAATCAATCAATAATATCAAGATTGTATTGTTCAGTTAGGTTGGTGAAAAGTGGATGAGAAATGGAAACTAACATTGTTGACGATAAATTGATCTAACTGGACAGAATCCAGTTTAGAGTTTACACACAGCAGGCAGCAGATGACTCATTCCTGAGTGGAGGTTAAATAGCTAAAACAATGTGAGGAAACTGAAATATTGATAAAGGATTTTGACCTCCTAAAAATCCAGGAGTTCAGTATCTGATGCTCTTTTGTGATGAGAATAAGGCAGCGATGTAGTTGCTAGTACATTTTTTTGAACCATTAGTAGCATACTACATTTGTGGTTTTATTGTAACATTGTCACAACACTTAACCTAGAAACCAGAGAAATTCTGCAGGTTGTGTTTAAGGCTGTTAGCACTGTAGAGGTCTACACTTTTCTCCAAAAACCTTGGGATTAGTAATAGTAAATTATTAGAGCAATGAGGAATAGTGCATATTTTATTACTATTAGAAAGAATTCCAAAGTGATAAGGAACTTTGGATAACTGGAATGCCAGTTTCAAGTGCGTGAAGAAGAGGGGCTTGTCTTCAGTGGCCGCCATTACCTGCTGACCTTCCCATGTTTGACAGAGCCGTGACCAGCCATCCAGCTTCGCTGTCCTTGTCAGCACACCAGAAGGAACAGGATAGAACCTCGGCACACCTTGTGCGGAAGATGACTGAGATGTGTAGTGAATTTCTGATGGTAAAGGGTAGACAGCCATGTGCTGTAAATGATGAACAAAAAGAGAAAAGAATGAGCTTTTAGCCGTTAGTGATTGAAGATTTGAAAAAAAAGTCCTGCTTTGCTTCTTAACTATGCCTGTTCATGCTGATCAGATACAAGCTCTCTATGGCTATTTCTCGAGTTTTCATGTTGGCTTAATTAAATTGGTTGCACAAGGAAGAGCTTCCTGGGACATA